TATCATTTTCAACTGCCTGCTTTTTATCTGGTTGTCCCCCTGGTATCTCAAACTCAACAAAATCAAACTTTTCTTCTTTTCCCTGTCTCTTTACTCCCCTTTCCTCCTGCCTTTCCTGTTTTCTATATTGCTCCAATGCTTTCCCAGCTCGCTAGATTTGAAAACTCAAGATTTCTCCACCATTGTCTACTCGCCTCGCCTCTAGGTCTATAGGTCTAGTTTGAGTATCAGATTTTGTGTTGTCTATCTCATTTCTCCAGTCTGTACTCATCTTACAAATACAAACGTACATACCCAACTTCCTGTTTCTACTCTACTCTCTCATTTTCTGGTCAGGTTCTCATTACCACTTGCTGGACTGTTGAAATAGCCTCCTCACTGTTCCCTTGCCTCCTGTTTTTCCCTCTTTGCTGGCAGTTGAATCTTTAGGAATGGTCATTCCCTTGAAATGACTTGTGAACATGCCTTGTACAATTCCTGCCACAACGTCACAGTATTAAATACTACCATTTCTCCCTGAAACTTTACTAGACTTTAGAAACATTCCCTGCCTTTTTAGTACTCCAATTGGAGGTGATTGCCCTTTTTTGAATTTTCATAGCTTTTGGAATTTAATAAAAATAACTAATGTCTCATATAGAGCAATATAAGAAACTGTCACTGTGTAGAGATGAATGGTGGTGATAGTTGCACACAAGGTCAATGGACTTAATGCCACTGAACTGTACACTTAAAAGTGGTTCAGGTGGTCAGTTTTATGTTGTGTGTATTTTAACACAATTTTAAAAAAATAATTGCATAACTTTTGAATGCTGGTAGCCTGATAAATGAAAAAGAATTCAAAAGAAACTTGTGGTGTCTCAGGGTAGATCTAGAGCCAGGAATAAGCTCCAGGGGAAAGTTTTTGGCTCAACGTGAAGGAAAACGTTTTAATAATCAGACCTTTCTTACAGAATGGCACTATTAAAGGTAAAATGAGCATATTTGTGGGTGTTTTTTTGTGGTTTTTTTTTTTTTTTTTTTTTTGAGGAAAATTAGCTCTGAGCTAATTGCTGCCAATCCTCCTCTTTTTGCTGAGGAAGACTGGCCCTGAGCTAACATCTGTGCCCATCTTCCTCTACTTTATATGTGGGACGCCTACCACAGCATGGCTTGCCAAGTGGTGCCATGTCCGCACATGGGATCCGAACTGGGGAACTGCGGGCCGCCGACGTGGAACGTGTGCACTTAACCGCTGCGCCAGCGGGCTGGCCCCTGTGGCCTTTGAGATTAACAAATTACATACTACATCCATACTTTGGAAAATTTGGATAAAAAGAAGTACACTTAGTTTTATTAAGTAGGGAGAAAACATTGCAGAACAGCGTGATTGAATCCTTCATATTAAAATTATGTGTATCTAATCTTGTGTTTAATTATGTCTAACTATCTGGAAGGCTGTTTGCCAAAATGTGGTTGGTACATTAAGGGGTTCTTGATTTCTTCTTTATACCTTTCTGTATTGTAATTTTTTATAATAAGGGTGTGTTACATATGTAAACAGAAAATCCACCTCACCCTTTTCTTCTTGTGATATACCCATACAAAATTAATATAAAAAGTTAAGAATTCTGACAGAAAAGTGAAATAGGCTGCCTTGGATAGCCTGTCAGTTAAAGGTATTTTAGTAGTTGGCCATGGGAATGTTGTAGGAGGTTGAACTATACCACTTTCAAGGCCATTACCTCCAGGCCAGGTTGTTATTTTACTCAATTTTTTAAGAATTATTATGGTATAAGAAAAAGTAAATATTTGGTCTTTGTCCGGATTCCTGCCAGAGTTCCTAAAACCGTTGGGATTTTCAATAGGAGTCTCTATTGCTATTTATAAGGAGCCCCTTTTGGTCACACCAGAGTTTTAGGCTGAGGGAGGTGACTTAAGGGACCTCTATACAGGCTCAGGGTGGGACTAGTCTCCAGAAAGACCAAACACTTGATTAGAGAGTTGGAATTTTCAGTCCCACTCACCACAGGCATAGGTTTGGGGTGGGATTGAGCTCTACAAAAACTCTTGGAGGGGCCAGCCCCGTGGCCGAGTAGTTAAGTTCGCACACTCCAGCTGCCCAGGGGTTCGCTGGTTCGGATCCTGGGCGTGGACGTGGCACCGATCATCAGACCATGCTGAGGCGGCGTCCCACATAGCACAACCAGAGGCACTCACAACGAGGATATACAACTGTGTACTGGGGGGCTTTGGGGAGAAGAAGAAGCGGGGAAGAAAAGGAAGATTGGCAACAGTTGTTAGCTCAAGTGCCAGTCTTCTCCCCCCCGCCCCAGCTTTTTTCTCCCCAAATCTTCCCAGTACATAGTTATATATTTCAGTTGTGGGTCCTTCTAGTTGTGGCATGTGGGACGCTGCCTCAGTGTGGCCTGATGAGTGGTGCCATGTCCACACCTAGAGTCCGAACCAGCGAAAACCCTGGGCTGCCAAACCAGAGTGCGCAAACTTAGCCATTCAGCCACGGTGCCATCCCCTCAGGTGCCAATCTTTAAAAAAAAAAAAAACTCTTGAAAAAGCTCTTGATTTGATGAGCCTCCATCATGTATCAGTGCTACACAGAGGGTATGGAAGCTCTGTGCTCCCTCCCCACCTTGCCTTATACATCTCTTCCATTTGGCTGTTCCTGAGTTGTAGTCTTTATAATAAACCAGTAATAGTAAGTAAAGCAGTTTCCTGAGTTCTGTGAGTCATCCCAGCAAATTATCAGACCTGAGCGGGGCTTGTGGAAACCCTCAAATTGATAGCCAAGTTGGACAGAAGTGTGCAGGTATCTTGGGCACTCAGGGTTTGACACTGATCTCTAAAAGTGAGGACAGTCTTCTGAGACTGAAGCCTTAGTCACAGCCCTTAGACCTATGAGGTCTGATGCTGCCTCTGGGTAGTTAGTGTCAGAACTGAATTGTTAGGCACCCAGTTGGTGGCAGGGAGAAACATACATCTATTGTCAGAAAGTACCACACATTTGTATACATCCATTATCCCTGCAGTCAGATCACAGACTCTTTGAAGACAAGACTATCCTGTCCTCTGCAGCACCAGCCTAGCGATTTGTGCATCGTAGATGCTAAGAACAGTGAATTTTGCCCAAATAAAAGTGATTTCTGTGTTGAAGATTATGCCTTGGGAGACAGGTATTTCATCAAGTGATAGGAGTAGAGTTTATTTTAATGCAAGAGGAGTTTTCCTTTAAAAATAATTATAGGGGCCGGCCCAGCAGTGCAGCAGTTAAGTGCGCACGTTCCACCTCAGCAGCCCGGGGTTCACTGGTTCAGATCCCAGGTACGGACATGGCACCGCTTCGCAAGCCATGCTGGGTGGTAGGCATCCCACATATAAAGTAGAGGAAGATGGGCATGGATGTTAGCTCAGGGCCAGTCTTCCTCAGCAAAAAGAGGAGGATTGGCAGCAGATGTTAGCTCAGGGCTAATCTTCCTCAAAAAAAAATATAATAAATTGAGATTTGGAACATGCGATTTTGAGGGGGTTCTCTCTCTTTTTAAATGCACAATTCAGTGATTTTTAATATACTCACAGAATTGTGCACCTATCAACACAGTTACCCCAAAAAGAAACTGCATACCCATTAGCCACCACTCCCCATTTTCCTCCAGTCCACCCAGCAATAGGCAGCCACCAATCTACTTTCTCTATGGGTTTGCCTATTCTGCACATTTAATATAAATGAAATCATACAATACGTAACTACCTTTTTTTATTGCCAAACAGTATAGTATTATATGGATGTATCATTTTATTTATCCATTCATCAGTTGATGGATATTTGTGTTTTTACTTTTTGACTATTATGAATAATGTCTTGTTAAAGAACTCAAGAAGGTTGATTATCAAGACAAACAGTAACCATACTTAGTTCTGTGGGAATGTCCTCCCCCAGGGAGCTTGGCCTGTGGGCCAGCTGCCCGCTTTTATTGGAGCACAGCCATCCCCATTCACTTGCAGATTGTCTGTGGCTGCTTTCATCCCACAACTGCAGCGCTGAATAGTTGCAGCAGAGACTGTATGGCCCACAGTCTGCCTTTCTGGGCTCATCTGTTTGAAACCTTCACTTCCAGAAGTAGCCTTTATGTTTACTAAATACTCTTTTCTCTTTTTCTTGTTTTTGGGCAGGCAGAGAATATTTATAATGATGAAGACCCTGAAGGAAGCGTGGATCCAGAAGGACAAGGGTCCTAGATATGTCTGCACTTCTTGTGATTTTAGACTCCCCTTTTTTTCCTCTCAACCCTGAGATTGATATAACACTGGTTTTGAGACACAGACTTTGTTTGGCTACCCCTCTCTGATAGGTACCCTCAACAATGCTATTAGCCCAAACAGAGGGTGTTTTCTAAATATTAACTGGGGGACTTGATTCAGCAAAGCCACAGACTTATATTTAAATTTTCTTCAGGAATTTTCTAGTAACAAATGTTTAAAGTAGCCCCAGAAAGGGGAACATTGTGTGTGGTTATTTTTCTTCTTAATGCTATATCCCCAAGTTTTTCAGACTCATTTAAGTAAAGGCTAGGGTGAGTAAGGAATATTGCCAAGTGAGGTAGGTGTCTGAGCCATGAAGTATAAATCCTGCAAGGTGTTGTTTTTATTCAGGAAATAGGGGAGATTCAAGTCATACAAATTCCTACTCTAAAATCTTCACACCTGACTTTCCAGGATGCACATTTTCCTATGTAGACCTCTCAGTTTCTCCAATTAAGTCAAAACTACGTGTTCCTCTTTCCCCATATATTTTTGCTTGTTAGTGTATTTCTTGAGCTGTTTTCATATTATTTCTTTCCTTTCTGTGAAATGGTTTTTTTTAAAAAAAACTTGGGACCACCAAGTTGTAAAGATGTATGTTTTTACCTGACAGTTGTACCACAGGTAGACTGTCCAGTTAAGTTGAGAAGAGTGAATCAATAGCTTGTATTTGTTTTTAAAATTAAATTAATCCTGGATAAGAGTTGCTTTTTTTTTTTTAGGAGTTAGTCCTTGACCACTAGTTTGATACCATCTCTATTTTGGGTGACCTGTTTCACCAGCAGGCCTGTTACTCTTCATGACTAACTGTGTAAGTGCTTATAATGGAATAAATTGCTTTTCTACATAACCCCATGCTGATGGGTTTTATTTAGTATATAACTTCCATCAAACAGCAGTCTCTGGCTTCTAGAAAAGTTGCTCAGATGACAGTTATTTTCTGTGGTCTTCGACTATCAAGAACCGAATTAAATATAATAGACCCAGAGCTATAGAAAAGAGCTTTACTCCTTCCCGGGGAAAGTGGAAGACATAAAACACTGAATCAGAGGTGCTCAGGTTAGTCTTTGATAAAATAACATCTTTTTGAAGTCCATCCCTAGAGAACTACCTTCACTTTCAAGAATCTCAAAGGCAATGTGGCAGAAAGAACTTAAGGCAAAATTTAAATTTGGAAAAGGTGTTTGAACCTTTTCTCTTAGAGAGGTTGAATCTCCGCAGTATGTGTTTCACTAGAGCCTGTACTTAGACGTTAGAAATAATAGGCTCTTGATAGCCTTTGTCGCCAAGTCCCATAACCAGATAAAACGCCTGGTTCTTTGCTAATCACTCAGTTTAACTGAGTAGATCACTCGGACCCCAAATCATTTTCATTAGGTAATATCTTTGCAGAAATCTGAAAATCCGTAACCTTTAGGTTCAAATCTGGATTGGTTCTTTTTTCCCAAGTCAGTAGTTCTTCTAGAGTATGGTGAGAATTATCTTGACACAATTAAGAGTAAACTGTATGAGTGAGCATAGACTTAAAGAAAAGTAAATTTTGTAAAAGAATTCATTTAAATTCTAACACTCATTGCACAAAATAATTCAAATTGTGAACCCATATAATGAAAATCGGCTGCCTTTTTGACCCCATCTGTGCTCCAAAAAAATGTTTTTCGTTTGGATCAACACAAGGCAAGATAGATTCTTCACAATACTATAAGATGTGTCCATACATTCATCTTTTCCGCAGTCTGCATGTGAGCGTTGCTGCTGGAGGACAGGAAGCTCATTTTTCCATTCCTCAGTACATTGAGATCAGTACCAGCAGCCTGTGAAATGGAATCCAGCTCAGAGTTGACTGATGGTGTTCTGCATCCAGCCAGCCCTAGAATCTTTTTAAACAGGTCAGGCAGTATTTGTAACTTTCCAGGGTGAATTGCTTGCCAAGTCCCTGGCACTCCCTTCTGTTTGGGGGAAAAAAATGTCCAAAGGGTACTTAGTGATCCTTTGCTAAGAAGTCTTTTTTGTTTCTGGGTTACAGATTTGGCCATACCTTTCTAAACAGCCCCTGTAAGGTTGAGAGAAAAAAAAATAAGTTTACACTTTCTGCAACTTGAAATAATACAGTGTAAAGTTTTTAACAGTGAACTTCTAAAGTTTAGTTAGTGCATGCTGTGTTGGAGAGAGATTGCTAGAGTGTGATTTTTGTATGATCAGGGATGACTTTCCCCGAGCAAATATTTGAGTGCCTCCTATTTGCAAAATAGAATAAGTGGTAAGCTATGTGATAGTGATAGGAGGGGCTAGCTAAAGTACTTCTCTGCCCAGGTTAACTTTACACAGGTATTAATTACAGTGCATGAAATTCTGTAGGTTCTTTTCTTTGGATTAATCATTGCCTTTTCCCTATTGCGCTTTTAATCTGATCCACACAAAGGTGTTTAGCAGATCATTTTCCTCAATTACAAGGTTCTAATTTCCCAAACAATAAGTGTAATCATTTATCCCTGGATAAAACAGTAAAAGAAAATACTAGTAATAGAGGAAAAGCATCAGTTATAATAGTTATCTGAGAATTTGTATCCAAGATGTAAGATTAACTAGGAAATTAGGAATAAAATTAATGGGCATCTGTCTACTCGACACAGACCTTTTTTATCCTTAGTTTCTTTATCCAAGAGAATTTAAGACTTTATAAAGAATATGAGACCATATTGGTATATAAAGAAATTAATGGATAGGCGTGCTGCTGCTTTCACATATTAAGCAATAATCCTGTCCCTCATCCTATAAACAACACCCTGTTCAGCTTTGTTTATGACTTACAGATTAATTCAGTTTTCTTGGCCTCCTTTGTCACAGTCTGAGTAAGTCTTAGGTAACATTACTGCCTTCTCTGCTATTCTAAGGAAACTATTTATGAACAGCACATTGGGTTGGGGGGTGGTGAGGAAAGTAAGAATGCACAGAGCCTCAATGTTTTATCCTGTTACAGAATTCCGTGATAATTAGGGCATATTTTGAGTCCTACTAGAAGTTGAAACATTCCAGGTGAACCCTGAATGCTTGAACCAGGCAATTTGGAGGTATGTGTTATCCCTAAGTGACTTATTTGTCATTAGACACACACTTAAATTTTTTTAAGGCATTAGTATTGTTAGGAAAGCAGCAATGATGCAAACACCACTCTTGTACCCACAAGGATCACCTTGAGACTGTGTCTCGATTCCACCTGTCTGAGAAGTGGGAGCGTTAGCCTGTTCCAGGCTCTTGAGTAGCATAGCCCTTGAAAAAAAGAGAGCCATTTTCTGTCTGTTGATGGATGAGCACATTTGAAAATAATTTCCCAAATCATTTTTGTTGTTTTTTACTGTTAAGTAAAATATCCCCTGAGCAACATCAGCCCTCCCCGTCATCCCCTGAGCCAGTGTTAGTTGAGATTTGGGTAGCAGCAAAAACTGACCTGTAAGTTGAGAGCTCTTCAGCAAGGCTGATTCTTAGCTGCTCCATCTCTTTGTTCTTCTGTTGCTGGAGTTGCACCCCACTTCTTAACTGCCTCTGTCGTTCTTCCATTTCCTCCAGCTGTTCCTGCATGAGAGCGCCAAGAACATTTCTAATGAGCCAAACAATAAAAACCTGACATTGTCCATTATCGTTTATAAAGCACTTTCTTGTTCAGTGTTTAGTCTTCGTAGCAGTACTGAGGTTGAGAGACTGAGATTCACAGAGGTGGTGTTTTGACAAAGTGATACTGCTCTTCAAAATGGTGGCCTGAAAGGAGTCTTGTCTGTTAACCACAGCTTCTTAACAGAATCCCGCAAAGGGTGGACAGGTACTCAGAGGGACTTTGTAACTTTACAATTTTAAGAAGTGTTGGGGAGGGTTTTGATCCTCTAGTCAGTGAGCTGAGAATTTTCTAGACCTCTGGTTCCATATGCATGTTTGTTTCCACTAAGATAGTAAGTCGTCTGTAATATCCTACAACTTAATTGAAGTTGAAAGAAACCAAGTCTTTCTGTAAGCAATTATTTTTAAATATTAACTAGAATTCTAGGAGAGTTGTTCAGCTACCAGAAGTCCATGTTTAGAAGATATTTGAGTTGTTAGTTTACAGGGAAAACAGTAAATACAGTTTTGTATTTGAAGCTCCTTGAAGTCAGAGATAGCCACCTGGTACTTATTGGAACATCGTATGCAAATAGATGGCTTATTAGGATGTTGGCTCTCAGGGTTGTTAATTTCCTGTATCTTTAACTCATTACACAAAAAGGCTGAATTTGTTCAAAAGTGCTAAGTTGGAAGATGAAGATGCTATGCCCTGGAGGCCCTCAGGAGCCTTCAGGTCACTGTCCCATTTCCCATTCTCTGAGATCCAGGCGGGATGCTTTCTGTAAATTGTCTCTGCCTAGGATTAATGCCTGAGGGATGAGGTAAGGAAGATGTGAGCAAATCTGTCTCTGGCTTAGTTGCAGCTGGCATGGATCCTTAGGAAGCAGGAGGGAGTTGGGAAGGGGAGGGAGGGTTGAAGTTGGAAGGCCTATTTTAAAGGGGCAATGACTTCACCTTAGATTTTGAAGAATAAGAAGATAGGAATCCAGTTTGGGAACATGCTGTTATTAGAAGGATCTAAATATTTTGTTCTCTGAGTCATCCTTGATATACCTGTGGCACGTCAGTCTGCAGTGTTTGATACTCTGACTGAATCTCAACTTTCGTCAACACTGTCAAAAGGCCTTTTTTAGTGCCTAGCCATGCTTTAGCACCACACAGAGATGCAGCCTCACCACCTAAGAGCATGTCATCTGAAGGGAAGCATCTGCATACTTCCGTGCCCCAATTTCCCAATCCTCACTATCTAGAAAACCTCTTCTTTTGGTGAGGCACAAAAGGACATGCTGGGGAAGGCACCCTGCGCTGTTCGTGCTCTGACAGGAAGTGTCACGGAATAAAGGGAGTATTGCTACATTGACTGGCATTAAGGACAATCTCCAGTCTTAATCCTATGTAGCACCACTAGATTAACTCTAAAAACTGATACCGTCCCAGTCTTTGAAAGGCTTTCTGCTTTCTTTAGTCTGGCATTCAGACCCCCTCTAGTTTGACCCCTACCTCTAACTAGAACCTCCATTACTTTTCACGTGACTGTTTTCCTCTAGCCTGCACTGTCCAGTATGGAAGCCACTAATGACGTGACTTGAAATATGGCTAGTCCAAATTGAGATGTGCTGTAAGTATAAGCAGATTTTTAAGACTTGGCACCAGAAGAATGTAAAATTCCTCAAATTTTGATATTAATTACATGTTGAAATAATATTTTTTATATGCTTGGCTAAAAAAATGTATTTCACCTATTAAAATTTCTTTTAATGTGGCTACTCAAAATTTTAAATAAAATCTATGGCTTGCATTGTACTTCCATTGGACAGCACTTCTCTAGCCTGACCAGCTCACAGATCGGTGTGCCTTCTTCACCCCTGCCACTTCTGTCACCTAGACAGTATCTGCTTTATTATATTGCTATGTATCTTTTTTATGTCTAACTCCCAATCTGATTGTAGGTTCCTGGTTCTTAGTATGTCCAGCACCCTACACATAACGCTTATCAATGTGAAACAGGCAGACAATAAGCATACTCAGCATTCACAATCTACCAACTTCAAGCTAAAAACTTGTGAGATCATTCTCAGCAAAATCCTCCGCCACGCCCCTACCCGCCCCTACTCTCCCCTACTCCCCCCCCCCCCCACCCCCACCCCCCCCCCCCACCCCCCCCCCCGCGTAACCAGTCATCAAATCCTACCCATTTTACCTCACATACCTCATATTCTCTCTCATAAGGTCTAAGTGGTCTTTCCAGGCTCTTTCAATCCACCCTCCACACTTTCAAGAGTGCATACCTCTGTGCCAGACACCATTGCAGATGCTTTACAAATAACTAGTTCATTCCTTGCAACAGCCCTATGATGTGTAAGTAGTAGTATTACATGTGAGGGGGCTGTGCCACAGACGTTAAGTAGTTTGTCCACGGTTTTCCCAGCTAGGAAATGATAGAGCCAGGATTTGCTACTGGCTTAGAGCTCATGTTCTTAACTGCTTTGTTGCCTTCATATATATATAGGCTCTTTAGTGGTCTTCAAACTGTTTCCCATGAAACCCCAGCAGGAGGCCAAATTGGAGTGCCCCTGCCACTCTCATCAGAAGCGAGCTCCACTTTTACCTGTTTTATGTATTGGCATTTCACATAAAGCTCTGTTTGGGGAAAAGAGTCTGGCTTTGGGGAAAACCACCAACCTAAAATACATAAAACTTGACAGTGTGGTCTCAGTCTACCTCTCCAGCCTCATCACTCTACTTCTCACATTCCTTATAATCCAGCCACACTAAGCTGCTCACTTCCCATAACAAGTCTTTGTGTTTTCGTGCTTTTGTATAAGCTGTTCCCTCTGCTTGGAATGCCTTTCCCTTGTCTACCCAATGAATTCGTTCTTCAAGGCCCAGCTCAGACACCTTGTAGTGGTTGAGTGTGGACTCGAGGTGGGTTGCACAGGGTTGTATCCTTCCATCACCTCCTAGGTGTGTAACGCTGGAAAATGACTTGACGTTTCTGTCTTACCTCTGCTTGCTCGTTTTTCAAATGATGACAGTAGTTCGTACCTATCTTTTAGGTAAGGATTAAATGAATTACAGGTAAAGAACTTTAAGTACGTGCTAGCTATTGGTAATCCTCTTATGAAGCTTCCCCCTTGTTGCCCTGGGCACAGGTAGTTTATACCTGCTTCATCGGTACAATGCCTTATTCCTACAACTATTACGTTGAAGTGTATTATCACTTGAAGTATACTGAAGTATACTCTTTCATTGACTCTGAGTTTCACATTTTATCATCTCAGATCAGGATGCATCTTACAATCAAAGAGGCAAAGTTTACAATTTTAAGAGTGGGGTTTGCCCAGTGGTGCAGCAGTTAAGTGCACACGTTCCACTTGGCGGCCCGGGGTTTGCCACTTTGGATCCCAGGTTTGGACATGGCACCACGTGGCAAGCCATGCTGTGGTAGGCATCCCACATATAAAATAGAGGAAGATGGGCACGGATATGAGCTCAGGGCCAGTCTTCCTCAGCAAAAAGAGGAGGATTGGCAGCAGATGTTAGCTCAGGGCTAATCTTCCTGAAAAAAAAAAAAAGAATGAAGTGTACCCTTGAAAAGTAATCGGATGCCATAAATGACCTTTGGCAGACACAGTTAGGAAGCCATTTCAGAAAGAACAATTAGCTCCTTCAGACCTTGATTCGTACTTTTGTCATGGTACAGTGACAGGAGACACTCTTCAAGAGCGCCTTCATAGAATGATCTTTGGAAGGAGGCGCAGATCATCAAGTCAGAAACAAATCCAGTACAGCGATGAAAATCACTGGGGAGAGAATCCTACAACTCTGGTACTGTGTCAGAAAACTAGTACAGAGAATTCCTGATTTGTGACACGACCATACTAGTTCGCCTTGCCTGAAATCTCAGCATCCTCTGACTCCTTACCTCTGTCGCATCCATTCAATCGCCAAGTATGTTCCCCATTTGTTCTTGCAGCCTCCCCCTTCCTTTTATTCCCACACCATTGTTTCCTCTTACCTACGGTAGCTTCATAATTAGTGTCCCTTGCCTCTGGGTCTCTCGACCATTTTACACATTGCCACCAGTATTTTTTTTTTTTTTTTTTTTTGAAGTAGAGAATCATGTTACTCCCTTGATGAAATACCTTTAATGCTGTAAGTAACACTGAATAAAGTCCAAAATCCCTAGTGGATTTCAGAGTCCAATGTGATCTGCCCCAACCTACCTTTACAGTTCAACTTACCTTTCAGTTTTTCACCTTTCACATACAGCCAAGTTACTAATTATATTTTGACTATGTTGGGTTAAATAAAATACATTAATGGAACAACAAAAGACCCCGAATAGTCAAAGGAATCCTGACAAAAAAAGAACAAAGCTGGAGGTATCACAATCCCTGACTTTAAAATATACTGTAAAGCTATTGTAACCAAAACAGCATGGTACTGGCACAAAACCACACACAGATTAATGGAACAGAATGGAGAGCCCAGAAATAAACCCACGCATCTACAGACAGCTAATTTTCAATAAGGGAGCCAAGAACATACATGGAGAAGGGAAAGTCTCTTCAATAAATGGTGTTGGGAAAACTGGACAGCCATGTGCAAAAGAATGAAAGTAGACCATTATCTTACACCATATACAAAAATTAAAATGGATGAAATATTTGAATGTAAGACCTGAAACCATTAAACTTCTAGAGAAAACAAGCAGTACACTCCTCGACATTGGTCTTAGCGGCATAATTTTCAAGTACCATGTCTGACTGGGCAATGGAAACAATAGGAAAAATAAATGGGACTACGTCAAACTAAAAAGCTGCTGCACAGCAAAGGAAACCATCAGTAAAAAAAAAAAAAAAAGATAGCCTAACAACTGGGAGAAGATATTTGCAAACCATATATCTGATAAGGGGGTCAATATCCAAAATATACAAAGAACTCATACATCTCAAAAACAAAAAAATTGAAAAATGGGCAAAAGATCTGAACAGACATTTATCCAAAGAAGACATACAGATGGCCAGCAGGCACATGAAAAGATGTTCATCATTAACTATCAGGGAAATGCAAATCAAAACTACAAGGAGATATCACCTCACTCCCATCAGTTTGGCTAACATTAACAAGATAAGAAACAAGTGTTGGAGAGGATGTGGAGAGAAGAGAACTCATACACTGCTGGTGGGAGTGCAAACTGGTGCAACTATTATGAAAAACAGTATGGAGATTCCTCAAAAAAATTTAAGAATAGATCTACCATATGATCCATATTCCACTGCTGGGTATTTATCCAAAGAAGATGAAAACACGAATGCGTAAAGATACAAGCACCCCTATGTTCATCGCAGCACCATTCACAATAGCCAAGACTTGGAAGCAACCTAGGTGCCCATCAAGGGATGAATGGATAAAGACATGCTATATATACACAATGCGATACTGCTTGGCTATAAGAAACGATGAAATCCAGCCAATTGTGACAACATGGATGGACCTTGAGGGTATTATGCTAAGTGAAACAAGTCAGAGGGAGAAAGTCAAATACCGGATGATCTCACTCGCAAGTAGAAGATAGAAACAACAACAAACAAATACATAGAAACAGAGATTGGATTGGTGGTAACCAGAGAAAGGGGGAGGGAGGAGGGCAAAAGGGTGTGTAGCACCTGTGTGTGGTGATGGATTGTAATTAGTCTTGGGGTGGTGAACATGATGTAATCTACACAGAAATCAAAATATAATGACGTCCACCTGAAATTTATATAATGTTATAAACCAGTGTTGCTGCAATGAAAAATAGATACATTCAGGGCCGGCTCCGTGGCCGAGTGGTTAAGTTCACGTGCTCCGCTGCGGCGGCCCAGGGTTCGGATCCTGGGCACGGACATGGCACCGCTAGTCAGGCCACGTTGAGGTGGCGTCCCACATCCCACAACTAGAAGGACCTGCAACTAAGATAGACAGCTATGTACCCGGGGGGGGGGGGGGGGGGGGGTTGGGAAATAAAGCAGAAAAAAAAAAAAAGGTTGGCAACAGTTGTTAGCCCAGGTGCCAATCCTTAAAAAAAAAAAAAAAGATATATTCAAGTTACGTACACCTATTTCTCTTTTTTTATGTGGCTATTAGAAAATCTAAAATTATGTATATGGTTTTATTATATTTCTTCCACGAAGGGTTCTCTGATTTAACCCATGGCTAAAAACAATCTCATTATCCATAGCACTCTTTCCTGCACCTCTCGTAAATCACATTACTTACTACCCTGGGTTACAATTATTTTTTTAATCTATTTTTTTTAAAAGTATGCCTTTTGGTGAGGAAGATTGGCCCTGAGCTAACATCTGTTGCCAATCTTCCTCTTTTTTCTTTTATTCTCCCCACAGCCCCAGTACGTATCCCAGTTGTAAGTCATTCTAGTTCTTCTATGTGGGATGCCACCACAGCATGGCTTGATGAGTGGTGCGTAGGTCCACACCCAGGATCCGAGCTGGCAAAACCCAGGCCATTGAAGCAGAGCATGCTAACTTACCCACTTGGCCATAGGGCCAGCCCCCTGGGTTACAATTATTAATGTAATGTCTGTCTGAGTATAAGCTGTTAAGGATAGTATTCATGCAAAAAAATAATAAGTGCCCTTTCATTAGACTATGGACCAATAAAAAAGCAGTGAAGGGAGTTGGGTGGGTGAGGGTAGTACACACATGCATTCTTTGAAAACACTGAATATTATGACAAAAAACCCACTGTTTTCATCATACAGGCTACAGAAAGCTTGACAAAACCTTGAGTGAAGTGAATGCAGCCATTTTCAACAGAAGACATGTTCCCTTGGGGATGTATCAGAATCTCTGGGAGGCATAGGGTTTTTAAGTTTATCCAAAGGAATGTGTTTCAAAAGACAAATACTGCTCGGAAAGGCACCACATTGTAGCCTTCTCATAGTGTCCAACAGCACGTAAATCAACACTTAACTGATGTGTACTCTGAGCCTGAGTGGCAGAGAGAAGTAAAACTTACTCCCTACTTCTGAAAGCTCAGTCTGTGGGAGAGACAAACATAATTGTTTATTCACTTAGTGTTTATATCCCACTTAGTTCTATAAAGGGATTAGAACTGGCTCACAATCAGGAATAGCTTGAATACAAGGGAAATGATGACAAATGCACCAAAAAGGAAAATGAGGGCTAGAGATTTATAGGTTTCATCCCAGTTTTAAGACTGGAAAACTTAGGACCAACCGGGTGGCGCAGCAGTTAAGTGCACACATTCCACTTGCGCAGCCCTGGGTTCGCCGGTTTGGATCCCGGGTACGGACATGGCACCACTTGGCACGCCATGCTGTGGCAGGCGTCCCACATATAAAGTAGAGGAAGATGGGCATGGATGTTAGCTCAGGGCCAGTCTTCCTCAGCAAAAAGAGGAGGATTGGCAGTAGTTAGCTCAGGGCTTATCTTCCACAAAAAAAAAAAAAACAAAAAAAACAGTATTTGACCTGGAGGATTAATGAGATCATTGGTATAAAAGTGCTGTGTAAACTAAGTGCAGATAATTTTCAGCCCCTAGCCCAAGCCTGAATGAATGAAATGAAGAATGGAGTGAAGAAGTGAGTGAATGGCCCCAAAGAAGTTCTTCCTGCGGATGATAGTATACTTTAGCCCAAAAGACATGTGACCCGGTCACGCTTCCTGCCCCAGGCTAAATGACCCTGCTTCCTTTCCTGCCCAGTGGGCCTACCCTGTACTGCTGCACCTCCTCGTCTCGCTTTTGCCTCACAAGCGTGATCTGGTCCTCCAGGTTCTTATTCTGCAGGTGGAGCTGCCGGGCCTCCGCTTGCAGGGGTCTCAGAGCCTCCTTCATCTCCTGGATCTCGGCCTGCGTCTTCTGCAGAGCTTTGGCAGCAGCTTCTTTCCTCTCTAGGAGCCGCAGCAGCTGAGGCTCATACTCCTCCTCCAGGCCCTGGCGGCTTTCTGCTATGAGGTTCTCAAACCGGGCAGAGAGCCGCCGGCTCTCCTGGAGGAAGTGCCCGTCCCTCTGGCTTGGAGGTGCTTCTAGTTGCTGCCGTAACTGCTCCTTCTGCTTCTGATAGGCATCCTGGAGTTGGGCCAGTTCCTCCGAGAGCTGGGCTGCCCGTTTAGTCAGCACTTCCCGGAAATCGGCAAACTGGGCCACATCCTGCCGGCGGCTCTCCAGCTGGTATTGGTAGGCCACACACTCCTTCATCACCTTGAACAGCTTCTGCTTGACCAGCCGGATCTCCTCCCTCAGCGCATCCCTCTCCAGCTCTGCTTGGGCATGCAGTTTGTAGGCAGCCAGGATGTCCTCATGGACTTGTTGCACCTCCTGTAGGGCGGGTTCCCGGAGCAGCACAAGCTCATGGATGAGCTGATCCCTCTCCTCTTCCAGCTGGGCCACAGCTTGGACACATTGCTGGAAACGGCCCTCTAGCAATTCCAGGTCCTCGACGCTGAGGCTCTCTGTGCTGGGCGTAGGCCCGGCTCTGAGGCTCTCCTCAGGGTTAGGTTTCTCTTCACTCATAACTGTCTCGCCCCCATAAACAAGCTGCTCTGGGCTTGTGGTCTTTTCTGGCTTCACGGGCTCTTCTACAAACTGTATCTCATCTGGCTTCACAGCCTCCTTCACGTGCAGTGTCTCCTCCGGCTTCACAGGCTCTTCCACATACAGCGCCTCATCTGGCTGTCTGGTCTCCTCAATATACAGTGTCTCCTCAGGCCTCTCAGTCTCTTCCAGGAACAGTGTCTCATCAAAGTCATCCGTGTCCCCCAGGTACAGAATGTCCTCTAAACTCAAGGTCCCCTCCAAAGATAGAGTAACTTCTGGGTTCAAGGTCCCCGCCTCATACAGGGATTCAGAGTTCTCCTCCTGAAGAGGAGAACTGGCCTCTGCTTCTGTTTCCCTGCAAGAGAAATGACCTAAAGTGAGAGGGTAGCCACAATCCCAGGATGGTTCGTGACTGGAGCCATCGGGCCACAGGCCTAGATTACGTCAGGTTCTAACACTTGTCTGTACCCTTCCCTCCATCGATCTATCCCCACACAGCCCATTGCTTAGATCCCCTGACAACATCCCCATGATGTCAATGTCACTCTCCGCTTACATACCTTCAAGGACAGGAAACTCACACCTGAGCCACCACTATTTGTTCCACTGTCATAAGAAAATTCTAGTGTTGTGGTAAAGCCTTCTTCCCTGCAGCTCTTACCTGGACTTGATTCTTCTTTCTAGAATCAGACAAATCTAACTTCTTTGACATGTAAGTTCTTTAAACACCTAAAGAGAACTAACTTTCAATTGTTCCATGCATGCCTAGTGCCCTCCTCATCTGGGTCAATTCCTTTCAACCAGACTCCAAATTGTCACTGTCTCTTAGGGATGGCTATTGAAAGCAGTACCCAGGTGTGCTCTGAGCAGTCAGTCTCTGGACACTATACTCCTATTGATGCAGCCAAGGTTCCCTTAGCATACAGGGCAGCTCCATCATGTGCTTGCCAAATGCAGAGTTTGACTAAAATCCTGAAGACTTTTTCACACCAAGTGCTTTTGAGCTACACCTCTTGTTCCAATAAGACTTCATTCCTCTTGTTAGAATCAGCCCATCCTCCGAGCCGTAAAAGGCTCTTGAATTCAGATTCTGTGATTCTAATGTGGAAGCCCCTTAACCAGCTGCCTGTTGCCTGCTAGCTTAATCAGTTCCTCTTAAGGAATGCTCTCCTGTTTCTTTGGCATTCAGGTGGCTTTGGTCTTTCCTGTTTCAAATGCATCTTACCTACCTTGGATCTCTCAGCAATTCTTTGAAAATATAAAATACCATGGAAATAATAATAACAAATTACACTTATAAAGGTGTTATATGTGCCAGGCCCTGTTCTAAATGCTTTACGTGTATCAACTCATTTAATCCTCAACAATTCTACGAAGTAGTTACATCTATTATCCCCATCTTACAGACGAGGAAACTGAGGTTAAAAGAGGTTAATTTTCTCAATTACTCAGATACTCAGTGTGCACCAGTCATATAACAGACTCAATTTGAGTGTAGCTTTCAAGAAACTTTCTTTTTTTTTTTTTAGGTATAAAGTATAAGTGAAAAGCCCCCACGTATCAAAGACTTTAACTATCTTGAAAAGGCCTACTTGTGTGCAGGTTTTAAGCTCTATATCAACTCTAAATTCCTAAAGATTATTTTTATTCTGTCATTATGTACTCTGTCCTTGTCTCTAACACCCCAGGAATCCCAGGCTTCCCTTCCTGTGTCTCAGGGTGGCCCTCTGGAAACCACAAAGGTGTGGCTTCACCAGGCCCCAGACATCACTGGCCTCACTCAACCTAGCATGAGCACCAAAGCTTAAAGCTTGAAGACAACCTCAACAATCACCTAGTCCATTCACATCACTTTACCAGAGAAGAAGTGTTTTTTAGATATCTTCACCTGATGTCTCCTGGCCCCTCAAACTCAACTGCCCCCAAAATATCCTCCCCAAGCTTGCTGCACTTGTGTTCTCCAGCTCAGAGAAACACATCACTCTACACCAGGTTGATGAAGCAAGAAACTTTTCAACAGCTTTTTCCCTCCTTATATAGCCAATTCACTGAGAACTGGCCTTTCTATCTCAGAAAGTCTCCAGTCTCCATCCGCCTCTTCATTCCAGGGCGCCGCCCCTAGTCCAAGTCATTACTCTCACCTGCACTTTCGTACCGGCCTTCTAACGCGCCTTCCTCCTTCTCATCCTGGTCTCTTGTCTACAGTGCCACAGCTTGTACAACATACAGCAAACCACGTCGCTCCACTTCCCCTGTAGATAGCCAACTGCTTAGCGCAGATTCAAGGCCCTTAAAGATGTGGCCCCAACATACCTTTTCAGCCTCCTCTCTCATTACTCCCCACAACCCAGCCACCGTTTGACAATCTGGAACGTGCGTTAACTTTTTACATCTCCTACTCCTAGCCCACAGCGTCTAAAGGATCCAGCTGAGAAAATACAGCTCACTGTAAACCTCCTGACTAGGGAACAGTCCTGCACCACCCGGAAAGGTAAAGTTCCCACTGCCAGGAAGGAGGTACCTGCCCAGCCAGCCAGACCCACCCTGATGGTCAACAGAGTCCTGCTTTCCCAGCAGACGACTCTCACATTGTGCGCCTGCTGAGTCCTCCACCCTGGAACGGCGTAACCATGTTCAAGGCAATATTCTAAGCACTTTACATGGATCCTCATTGATATAATGTTGGTCTATTATCCTCATTTTATAGATGAGGAAACCAAAGCACAGAGTAAAGAACTCACTCGAGTGTCCACGACTGGTAAGTGGTGGAGCCTGAAGGCTGGCACAGCCAAGCTCCTTTTTACCACTCTCCTCCTAGGGTAAGTGTGAGGTCTAAGAGAGGCACGACAGCGTGTATAATAGGGCTGGGCACACAGCATTCAGAATATATTTATATCTATTTACCTAGCAAATTTCTACTCCTCCTTCAAAGCCCCCTCAAACTCCACCCCCTCTGAGAAGTGTTTCCCAGACAACACCTATTCTTGCGTTCTCATGGGCACTTTGTTTGCAGCTCATCTTTGCACATAGCGCTTTGTGTTACGCAAGTGCATGTGTCTGTCTCCCCTGACAGCCAATTCCCTAAGGACAAGTATAGTTCTTCTCTCTGTCTCCAGGGTGGGGCTCTGTGGAAGGCAGGCAGGCAGAAACCGGCAGATCCAAGGAGGAAACTTGCCCAAGGTCGAGTGACAAAGCTGGAAGTAGAACCCAGGCCTCCTGGCTTCGAAGCAGTGCTGTTACCACACACCATGTCGCCTCAGTCACCCCACCTGCAGTGCCAGGCCACTGCTAGACGCTGCCCTCACACGCCTGCCTCTCTCTAAGGAGCTGGAGAAAAAGTAGATTATGGGGGGTCTAGGGGCAAGGGAGCCAGCTCGGCTGGGGCCCTTGACCTCAGGCTTCCTTAGGCCCCAGGCAGCAGCCTGCCTCTGCCACTCTGTCCCTGTCCCCAGAGGACTCCAGCAGCTCTGCCCATGAGGGCTGTGGCTGGGACACTGTGCAGGCCTGAGCTGGTGTGTGTCCGACTCGTGTGTACCTGCATGTGTGTATGGCAGTACAGGTAGTGTATGTCTAAAACTATGCTCAGCTTTGTGCTGTGTGCGACAGTGAATGGGTGTGAGGGTGTGTGTATTTGCATCTCCACCTCTTGGTACATTGGGAAGTCCAGGGCTACAGTCCGACCTGGGACGGACATACTCCCTACTTGTCCCAAATCCTTCAGCCACAGGTCCCTTCCCCCTAAGCAGAGGTAAGCTGACAGCGTGGACCAATGGGAGATGGCCTCCCCTCCACAGTCCCTGGCCAGTCAAGGCCCTCCTGCTGGTCTGGGACAGGAGACCCTGTCCCCCAACCCTCATCCCAGACCACAGACAGGAGACAAGCTGCCTGCCTGAACAGATTCTTAACTCCAAGCTGGCAGACGCCCCACCTTGCACCAAGTATACTCCACACAGCGAGTTCAGCAACTGGAGGCCTCCATCTCCAGTTGCATTTGGGGTGAGGAATGAAAGAAAACAAGTACCATCTTTGGCTACTATGGGCCAAATGGCATGTGACGGTTGATGCCCACTAGTCTGAAAGGGTTAATCCCACACAGCCCGTGAGAGGGTGAGGGGATATTATAAAAAGCCACAGACAAAAGGAGGTGCCAAGGACCCCGGGCCAGCACTCCCCTATCGCAGGGTGGCTCCGCCCCGTGCCCCACCCCGGCTGGACCACTATCCACCCCCACCCCCCAGCAAAGCGAAAGGTTCTCCCGGGTGGGGGCAGGGAATTCTTCCAGCGCCCCTTCCCCACGGGGACGGCCACGCGGGCCCTGGACGGTCCTACCTCGCGGCCTGGGCGGCGCCGTCCCCGCCGCGCCGGGGCTCCAGGCTGGCCATGGCTGAGCGACCCCGGGCTCGGCGGCCGCGTTATTAATAGCCGGCCTGCCGGCCGCCCGCTCCGCACCCGCGCCCGCCGCACTGCCAGCTGCAGCCGACACCGGATCCCGGCCGCCCCGGGCCGGGCGCGCCCACTTGGCCTGGGCTCCTGCCCGCGGGAGGAGGGAGCGGGCCGCGCGGCCGGGGGCGGGGAGAGGCCGCCCCTCCAGGGACCAGGCTCGGGGGTGGGGATGGGGGGTGATTTATCGGCGTCTCCAAAACTAGCCAGCCCCGAGATCTTCCCGAACCTTCTTTCACTCCACCCTTCCCTTCTAGGGGTCCCAGTTGCGGGGGCCAGGGCAGGTGGGTGGCTCTGCAGCCCCGGGAGAGCAGTTCCCCTGCCTGGCTGGCCGGGGTGGGGGGGTAGGGGACTAGGAGGGACCCAGCACCCCCGCGGGCCGCTGCTCATCGCCCTGAGATCCCCACCGGCGCAGGGGTGGAGCGGGCCCCGCGCCCTGAGCACTGTGCCCCGCAGCTGTCGTGAAGGGTTCGGGGGGAGGATGGCTAATGGCCACACCCCGTGCGTTTGGGGACAGTCGGGAGCCTGGGAGCCTGTGGCCGGGTTATGGAAGGGCGGTAGGAAGACTGCGTGGGAGGGGTTTATGCCTGTAAGGTTGAGTCCATATTTAACTCGCGTTCCGCCCCCACTCTGCGAGGTTTCCTGGGGTCTCTCTGCTTGCTCCACCTGTCAACCCACCCAGCCCTTCTTCCGTCCACTCCAAGGCATGCCCCTCTCCCAAGTCTTTAGCTCATCGGTGTCGGAGCCAGCTTCAACGCTGAGGTCTTTCTCCCGAAGCTAAAAGCTGCCGGGCCTCGAGCATTCTCCCTTCTGATGCCTTTTTTCCACTGAGCCCCTCCGTCTGGAGCGGTCTTTGACTCAATCGCGGAAGAATGTGCACTATAACAAGCAAGGGGCTGCCTGTGTGTTTAATCGGAGATGCCGAGTACGGGGTGGGGTAATGGTGCGGCTGTGCTGAACGTGTCCGGACTGTGTGTTGTATCCGTGGGCCCACTGCTGGCTGTATGAACACCACAGGGTTGTGTGTGTGGTGTGTGGAGGGGATATTGTGGGACTGTGTGCCCACTGCGGGGGTACATGTCTGTGTGTGGGCATGTGGATGTGTGATTGTATAATCCTGGAGGCAGTGATTAAGAGTGTGGTGATCGTGCCCGCTGTGGAGTGTGTGTGCATGTAGTTGACTGTGACTGTGTTTGTGGGGTGTGTGCATGGTCCTGTGTGTGTATGCCTGAGTGACTGGGGGTTGATGTGTGTGAGTGGGGAGGGTGCTCAGAAGCAGATGTGTGACATGTCCTCTGTGGACAACTGGGGCCTGAGTAAGTGTTCATTAATCCACGGATGTGTGTGCGCTGCCTGTGGCTGTATATTTATATCTCTCTGTCTAGAGCAAGGGGGTGGGAGATTAACACCCAGGGCAGCCAAATACACCCTTGTAAGGTAAGCATGAGAAAAAGTTGGATTTTGGAGGCTGCTGGTCATTTTCTGACTTACTCTTGAAATATTCCAGGGGAGGAGGTTGGCAAAGCCTCAGCTGCTGGTCATTTGACAGCTGCTGCCAGTCAGAGGGGAGCTGAGGGAGCAAGGGTAAGGCCTGCCAGCAGCACTGTTTGCTGACGGCACTAGGCAACCGGCAGCATGGGTGGCATTAAGAAGGGTCATCCTTTCCCCACCAACCCCCTAGCCCAGGAGCTGGCCCTGTGCAGTCCCCAAGACTGAATTTCTTCACCCCTTCTAACCTCCCCAAGCCCTTCTTTAGGCTGAAACCCTGAATCCCTCAGGGTCCCTGGGACTCCTTTACCTCCAGGCCTTTGTTCTTGCTGTTCCCTCTGCCTAGAATACCCTTCCCAGCTCTTCACATCCCAGTTTCTACTGTTCCTCAGGTCTCAGCTTACATGTCATCTCCTCAGAAAGGCTTTCCCTGATGTGTCCCCTACTCCCCCACATAAATGTCCACCCATTTGCTGTTAACCACATCACCTTGTTTATTTTCTGTACAGCACTTACTACAATCTGCAATAATATTATTTTCAATTCCTTCTTTGCTTCCCCCGCTAGAATGGAAGCCCCATGAGGGCATGGACTTTGTATGTCTCGTTCACTGCTGTGTCCCCTTCACTGCTGTGTCCTCAGGGCCTAGCACAGGGCCTGGCACACAGCAGGATCTCGAAAAAGTTGTTGAGTGAGTGAATGAAAGAAGGAAGTTCCTCCCTAAGCCAATTCAGGCAACGTTTGATGCCTGCTGTTTGCCAGGCCTGGGCACTCCCCGCCAAGGAGCCCTGTGTGCGCAGGGAAACAGACATACACCTGTGCCCAGATTGTGTCTACCAGGGCAGAGTGAGGTAAGTGAGGCCACAGGACTCAGTTCACTCGGCAAACATTGGCACTTGCTCTGTGCTGGGCCCTGTGTCAGAGCGAACAGCCTTACTTGGCCCAGACCCCTGCCTGCAAAGAGCTCTCAGGGTAGAGGATGCTAGACTGTCTCCTGGGGAGACGAACCCATGCAGAGAATAATGCCCAATCACTGAGCAGAGAGATGGGATAGGCATTGAGACCCAGGGAAGCAGGGGGTGGGGGTGGGGGGAATTTATTCTAGAACAGTCTTGTGGACAAAGCAACCTGGGCCTGGAAGGATGAGAAATGGTGTTCTGGCGTCAGGCACAGACTGCTTTGAATGAAAAATGCAACCATTCTGTCTCTCAGCCCCTCCACAAAGCCTGAGTCCAGGAAGAGAAGGAGAAGCCCCTGGGCCAGCTCCTCTGCCTGACCTGACCTCTGTTCCCCCTGCTTCTCTGCCCTGCGCGTGTCCTGGGGCCAACTCCTGCTGACACTCTCACCTGGGCCCCCTTGCCCATGGCTTCAGGTGGAGTTTGGCCTAGGAGACGCTGGCAGGAGCTCAGAGGGAGGGAGGAGAGTGAGATGAGGATATGTATACGCCCTCCTCCGGGATTTTGACACCTCCACCAAAAGCAACAGCTCCTATTGAGTGGCCTACACCCATGGGTACAACCCTCACCAGGGTGGTTACAAGACTTCCTCCCTTTGCCCCTTCAGGCCTGGGGGCAGTGACTCCATCCGACGGTCGCGAGCCCCAGGGTGCTTCACCATTCCTGCCCACACCTCTCTGAACAGTCCCTTCATTAAACCCTCTTCTGGCAAACACTTTGAGTGTTCTGTTTCCCACTGAGACCCCTAAAGTGAGAACTAAACCAGGGAAGATGAGCCCTTGGCAGAGAATTTGGGGAGACCCTCTTTCCAAATCACCACCCAAAACCAGAATTGGAAAAGTTGTGAACAGGTGAAAACTTCATCCTTGGCGAACAGGAATGGGGGGTGCCCTGCGGGGGGATGAGTTTGGAAGTAGGCACCAGAGGGCAGCGGCGGGGGCGCGGCCTGGGCAGCCGTCTCCACTGTGCCGCCGCGCGTGCCCTCCGTGCCCTCGGGCAGCCAACCTCCCTGAGCCTCAGCTCCCTGCCTGTGACGTGGGCGAGAATACTCTGCACAGGGTCGCGGTGAAACGCAGCCAACAGTGAGGCTCAGCACAGGAGCGAGCGAGGTGCACTCGCTGCAGAGCTGAGAGGAGCGCGTTCCCCGTTATTCCTGCTGCAGGGGGAAGCCATTCTGCTGAGTTTCCGCGTGTCAAGAGCTCCAGCAAGCGATCTAGAGGGGCGAGGAGGCTGGTGAGGGATGCCAAGCAGGGCTCTCCGGCACACTGCTTCAAGGGAGCCAGGGGACAAATCCAAGCTGTGGCGGCGGCGGGCCTAAAACCTGCCTCTGCACTAACTCACCGTGTGACCTCAGGAAAGTCACTCTGCCTCAGAGATGGTTTTCCTCTCTGTCGAATCAGATAGCACTGTTTACCTCAGGTTTGCCGTGAAGATGAACTGAGAACACAGAGCATTTAGTAGAGTACCTGATGCACTGTAAGTGCCCAAGAAATATTAACGATTATTTTTATTTTTTTTAATTAATTTATTTATTTCAGGAAGATTAGCCCTGAGCTAACATCTGCTGCCAATCCTCCTCTTTTTGCAGAGGAGACTGGCCCTGAGCTAACATCTGTGCCCATCTTCCTCTACTTTATATGTGGGATGTCTGCCACAGCACGGCTTGCCAAGCAGTGCCATGTCCACACCCGGGATCCGAACTGACGAACCCTGGGCCACTGAGGAGGAACGTGCACATGTGACCACTGTGCCACCAGGCTGGCCCCTTAACAATTGTTTTGAAAACTCCCTTTTCTCCCTCTTACTCTCCCTGAATCTGCAACTGGGGACTGACTTACTGCCGTGTGTCCCTTCATTCATTCATTCACTTCAACATTTATGAAGCCAAACAGTGTGCTAGATCCTAGGAATACAGAGACTAGGAAGTCATTAAAGCAAAACAGTATCTGTTTCTTTGTTGTTGTATCCCTGGCCCCTAGGTTTTCAATAAATAGTGACTGAATGAGTAAATAGATGTTATTTTCTTGAGCAACTACTACATGCCAGGTGCTAAGCTCAGCATTGTAGCTGCATTGTTGCAATGAATCCTCAGAATCACAGCCCTATCACACAAGGCCTGTATCCTCCAATTCAGTATCCTGCCTCCACCAGTGACTGAATTATTTTTTATCTTCATCGTCATCATTATGCCTGACCTCCAGAGGCTTATCTTTTTTTTTTTTTTTTTTTTTGAGGACGATTAGCCCGGAGCTAACATCTGCTGCCAATCCTCCTCTTTTTGCTGAGGAAGACTGGCCCTGAGCTAATATCTGTGCTCATCTTCCTCTACTTTATATGTGGGACGCCTACCACAGCATGGCTTGCCAAGCGGCGCTATGTCCGCACCCAGGACCCGAACCCGGGAACCGCAAGCCGCCAAAGCAGAACATGCGCCCTTAGTGGCTGAGTCAACGGGCCGGCCCCCAGAGGCTTATCTTATAGTCCAGTGAGAGTCAGGTAGCCTTTTCCTCCACGGCCTTCCTCGGGAGGGAGCCAGGCATGGCCGCAGACTTGGGTTCAAATCCCCAGGTGTGCATCTCTGGGCAAGTTACTT